TATATATTTTTAGTTGTCCAATTAATTTCTTTCTATTTTTGGTAGAGACGGGGTCTTGCTCTTGCTCAGGCTGGTTTTGAACTCCTGAGCTCAAATAATCCGCCTGCCTCGGCCTCCCAGAGTGCTAGGATTATAGGCGTGAGTCACCGCGCCCGGCCCGGCTAATTTTTTATTTCTATTTTTAGTTGACTTGCTAATTTTTTCTATTTCTAGTAGAGATGGGGTCTCGCTCTTGCTCAGAGCTGGTCTCGAACTCCTGAGCTCAAGCAATCCTCCCGCCTTGGACTCCCAGAGTGCTAGGATTACAGGCGTGAGCCACCACGCCCAGCCAACAGTTTTTTTTTTTTTATAAAAAGGATAAAAACAAATGTCAATGTTGGTATTCATTAGGAAGGCTAGTTAAAATGATTATCCAGAAGTTAAGATAAAAATTGCTTTTACTGAACTTTTCTTTTAATCTTTGTTTTTTTAAAAAAAAGAACTCCATTTTACTTCCTATCCAGTGCAAACCAGTAAAGTTTCTTGAGAATGGTGTGATAATAATCTCTTGTTATTTACTGTCTGCGTTACTGGGTCCCTCATGGATTGATGTGTTTTGTTTGTCAAATGAGAATAATTATGCTAACCTAGCAGGGTTGTTTAGAAGATTAAAGAGAATCTTTGGAAAGTGTCTAGCACGTAGTAGGTCATAACCTATACTGATGATATTTTGTTAAAACCACTCTTCTGCCCTTTAGAATAAAAATTGTGAAGGATAAAAAGGGAAGGAGTCCTACCTAGTTATATATTAATAGTACAAGTTATATATTAATAATAACACCGTACAATATTTATTCTGCATCTTCTGTGTGTCAGGACCTATCCTAGGTCCTGGGGAAATGGTGAGCATCCCCCTCTCTTGCCCAGTCCTTGTGCTGGTGGTATTTAACCAGATTGTACTTATAGATGTTTATTTTTATTCTTTCTCATGCTGACAGATTCTTTTTCAATTATGAAATATACCGATTTTTTCCCCTTTGTTTACAGTTACAAGATAATAAAACTTTCCTAGCAATGCTAAACCATGTCTTGAGTGTGGATGGATTTTACTTTTCAACAACATATGATTTGACCCATACTTTGCAGCGGCTGTCCAACACTAGTCCAGAATTCCAAGAAATGAGCCTCTTGGAAAGGGTAAGCTTGATCTTCAGTTACTTTTATTCTTTTTTAGGTTATTTTAAAGGGACATGTTATTTATAATTTTTGTAACTTGAAAAGTAGTAATTTATTAATTTAAGAATTTGGAAATATCCTTTTAAGTTTTTTTTTGTTGTTTTGCCTTTTTTTTTTTTAATGATGAATGTATCTTTAAAACTACAAATGATCTCAACTTTAAGTTTCTGCTGTTCAAGAACCTGGATAATTGTTGCCTTAATTTTTTTGACAAGCCTTAGATGTATTCAGTGGGCAGACAGTTTGAAAGGTTGCCCTGTTACCTATTATGTTGGACCAATAATTGACAATTTTTGAACAGTAAAAATGGTAATTTCATATAGTGCAGTCTAAATCGATATTTTAGTTGACTGGCTCTTTGGGTAAGATTTCATACTGTAATCTGGTAAAATTGTGTGTAGGCTTAGATGTAAGTTTAGATTTAGGCCAAGCAATCAAGAAACTTCGGTTTTAACTACAAAGAGACTGTTGGTTTTTAAAGCAGTTGCTACAGTCTCCATTTGTTTATTAAATATCTCTCAAACATTGGCTATGTATCAGGCACTGTACTAGTTTCTGGGGACCCAGAATGAAAAGCTGTGGATCCTGCCTAGTGGGGGCCTGCAGTCTGCCGTGGAAGCAGTAGTCCCAGCAATCACAAAACAAGGGATGATTGTTGTAACAGAGATATGTACCACAATGTGGTGAGATCTGAAAGAAGGAGAGTCTCACTCTGCCTGGGAGTGTCAGGGATGACATTATTAAGGAAGGTAACTTTTGAGCTGAGACTTAATGATGAGAGTTTTTTTGTCAGGTGACAGTGGGAGAGGGAGGGTTCCAGGCAGAGGTGGTAGCAATAGTAGGCTAAGCTGAAGAAGAAAGCCATTTCATCTGTTGGGATGGAATGGGATTTTTTTTTGTCAGCTAATCAGAAAAGTCTGTTAAAGTTAACATAGGGAATCATAAAAGTAATAAATGAAACACATACCTTAAACATTTTAACTTAAAACATAAAATTTTACATTCATTGATCAATGTGTTTATGTAGGGCCACAGGCTTTTCTTTGGTTTTGCTTCCTTGATTCCAAATTGTCTTTGCTGTGTAAATTGCATCCATAAGGCATTCAAATTGGGACTCTTTAAAGAGTTCAACACTTACATATTAATCTGTGTGCAGAATCCTGTATATTTTTACAGTATTTCTCTAATGTTTTTTAGTTGCCACTCCTATTCCTAATTCAACAGCAATTTTGTTTTAGCCACTTGCCTCTTATTAAGTTGTGTTCCAGATCATTCATCTTTACAGAAAGAGCAGTTCATTTTTAGTCTCATTGGTTTATAAAATATTTAGTTGAATTATGTAATAATAAATAGCAAGTATCACTGACACAAACCACTTGGAACATACACCTGAATCTCTGGTTGTGGCCAAGTATAAGAGCCATTCCTTGAGACTTTTAGATTTGGGGATGGGAATGGTTTAACTGGTCTGCTTGGTAAGGAGAATGGAGAGAACTGGTTAATCTACTGAGTCAACTAAATAGAGGTTGTTGAAGGAGCTACTTCTGTATGTATAGTTTGAAAGTCAGAGTGGCCAGAGATGAGATCAGAGAATTAAGTAGGGGCTGCCAGATCCCAGGACTGGTTAGGCCATGCAAAGATTTGGTTCTTTAGGTGACAAAAAGTTGCTGAAGAATTTGTAGCAGAGAGGAGATAGGAAATGTTGGAGAACTCTACTGGCAGCATTGTGGAGAAGTGGATGGGGAGGGCTGATGCAAGACCTGGGTCAGGGAAAGCCATTTTAGTAGTTAGGCCAGAGTCAAGTGTTGGCCAAGGGTGGCGGAAGTGGAAATGAAGAAAAGAGGATGGATTTTGGAGATTTAGTACTTGGCAATTGAGCCAATGTAAGGGAAAGAAAGACCCTGAGAGGACGCCCAGGCTTCTGTCTAGCCTGAGGCAATGAGGCAGGAATACCCAGAGGAGGAACAAACTTGGGGGGGAAATGTTTTCTGTTTGGAGCATGTCAAAGAAACCTGCTTCTCGTCACCAAATGGAGACATTGACTGGTATAGTTTTCTTTCTATAGAAAATCAACTTGGTCCTTACTTATGGTATATGGTTTGAAAAAAAAAAAATCAACTTGGCAGGCAATATTTTATTAAATTTTAAAACTTCTCTCAGGCAGATCAGCGGTTTGTATGGAACGGTCATCTTCTAAGAGAACTTTCTGCTCAGCCAGAGGTAATGTACACTAAATAAAATTGCTCATTATAGTCTAAGATTTAATTCAACGCATGTTATAAAATGACTACCTAATCACCAAGGATTTTGGTAAATGATTCTAATTTAACTCTGTTTATAACTTATAAACTTTTATCAGTTCTACCCTCACATATTGTTCTAGGTTGAAGAAGCCTAATTATGTTACTGTGATCCCCTGTAGAAGCCTTAAGTGAAAATACATTGCTTTGTCTAACTAAGAAAGATGAAGTGGGTCTTGGTGGATGAATAATGAAGAAATGAGGGGCCAGGGCTAAGTCTTCAGCCAAGAGAAGAGCTCTGTATTTGTCTTTATGTGGAGATGAGGCTCCCTTTAATCACCCAGGAGAGACATACACAGATGCCACCTTTCTCCTCCTTTGTCTACATAAATGAGGCATAAACAAGGAGGCCCAGCTAGGTAAATGTGACAAATTGAATCTAGGTAAATAGGTTCGTCTAATTGCTTTATTTCTTGTCAGTCGCTATGCTTTTTTTTTGGAAAAGTAGTTTGAGCTGCAGTTAGCATGGGATATTTTTCCTCTGGAGGAATGAAGTTGTTGTAGGTAAAGACTGAAAAGGAGGTAAACATTCTGCAACTTCATGTAGTTTTATTAGTGTTCTAAAATCTGTGAATATCCAAGCCCAAATGATTGTAATGCATACTTAATGTTACATTAGAGAAATTTCTTTAAAATTAAAAGTTACCCATAAGCTTACCACTTTGTTATGTTTGTATATTATTAATACCTCCCTATGTGTAAATATTTTTTAAATAACGCTGCTCATTTATTTTTGAAGTACGTTGATTCTGAATATTGTATTTATTCATTTCAGGTTCATCGGTTTGCTCTTCCAGTGTTACATGGCTGTATCCTTTCTTAATACTCTTTAGTTTCTAGCAGTCTTTATTTATATTTTATTATAAAGCAGATTTAGAGACAGTCTCAAATATTCCATGAGGAGAGTATTTTCAGAAGTAGTAGAAATTGCTGAAACTCATTGATGTAAAATCTTAAGAGTACTGATTGTAAACAACCATTTTTTTTTTTAAAGAATGAACTTTTCAGACTAAATTATTCACATTCTGTTCAAGAGTTCTAGGGCTGGTGGTTTAAAGAGAAGGAATATATATACTGTGTTTTGCCTTTATTTGATGTTATCTTATATCAGTAAATTATAAAAGAGTAGTTTGTACCTGGCTGTTGAAATGAAAACTTACCTTAGTATGTAATTTTAAAAGTTAGACTCAAATACTAGGGTGACCAGCAACTTAGAGAGGAAAATTACAGTTAAAAATTTTATTTATCATTTGCAATAGTGAGAAAAATGAAAGTAGATGAAGTACAAGGAATAATGCTTAGGGGGAAATCATTGTATACATGCAAAATGAGTAACGATTATCTAATTTGTAAGTTCATTTCAAAAACATATCTTTATCATAGACATCATAATAAAAATAGGAAATCAAAGTTAGCTGGCTCTTGAAGTATAAGCACAATACATGCTGTCAAGAACTTATACAGTCATGTGCCACATAATGACATTTTGGTCAATGACAGACCATGTATATGACAGTGGTCCCACAAGATTATAATACTGTATTTTTACTGAACCTTTTCTGTTTAGATATGTTCAGATACACAGGTAATTAACCATTGTGCCTACAGTATTCAGTATGTAACATACTGTACAGTTTTGTAACCTAGAAGCAATAGACAATACCATATAGCTTAGGTATGTGTAGTAGGTTATATTAATACTGTCTAGGTTTGCGTAAGGACATTCTGTGATGTACAAAATTGCCTAATGACTCATTTCTTAGAAAGTATCCGTTAACTGACGTGTGATTCTAATCAGAACTGTGCCCTGCAGAAACAGAGATGACTTCTTTCTGTTAAGCACGCCCAAGAAGCTTATGAACACAACAGTCTATGATTTATTTATTCATCATGTTAATATGATTTCATTAAATTATTATTCTTGTTATACTTAAAGAAAAACAGAAAAGTCATGGAGGAAACATTTTCTAGTTGTGGGGGAATAAAAATTAGAAAATCTCAGGATAAAAGCTCTTGTTTATTGTTTTTGTTTTTCACCCTGGAGCTTTCCAGGTTCTCCTAAGGGTAAAATAAGAATAAATGTGTTTTTCAAAATGAGATTGTGAATGGACAAATAATATTAAGTGAATTTATAGAACTTTTTTAAAGGCGACTTTAGAAATAGCATGCCCATTTAGCTTTAAATTTAAGCTTTAAATGAGCTTTTGTTTAATGTAGTTTGTTGATTGAAAATATAGTCACATGTTTCACACACATACAGAGATCAGCAAGTACAATGACCCCAAGGCAGGAACATGACTGTAGCAGAGAGCATGGACAGGGGGAGGTGGGAGCTGTGTTCAGCGAAGTAACTTGGCCCAGTTTACTCGGGGCCTCATAGGAAGGACTGTGGCTTTTACTTTAAGTGTGATGAGAAGCTATTAGGGGATTTGAGTAGAGGATTGGCATGGTAAGACTGAATCACTCTGTGATGTAGAGAATAGGCCAAAGGCAAGCAAGAGTGGATACAAGGAACAATTAGGAGGATTGTCCTAGGTGGTATTGCCTAGGACCAGGACGGTAGGCAATGATGGTGGTGAGAAATGGTCAGGTTCTAGATAAGTTTTTGAGGCAGTGCTAACAGAAGTTCCTGACAAATTGTATGTGGGTTATAAAATAGAGGAGTTTAGTGTGACTCAAAGGTTCGTGACCAGAGTAAGTGGACGGAAGCCATCCACTGAGGTAGGGAAGAATCAGGAGGTGGGAGGGAGGCAGAAGAGTATCCAGAGTTCCATTTGTACATGTTAAACTTGAGATTTCTGCAGATATCCACATCAAGATGTGAAGGAGGTAGTTGTATAAATGGTAACCGGAGTTCAGGGGAGAAGTCCATGCTGGAGACATAAATTCGAGAGTTCTCAGGGTATAAGTGGATGGCATTTAAAGCCAGGAATCTGGATGAAATCTTCAAAGGAAGGAATTAATACAGAGAAAAGACCTGTATAAAAAGAGAAGACAAACTGAGGAGGGTTCTAAATAGTGAAAAAATGAGCCTTAGGCCTCAGTGAGGACAAAAGACTTCTGAAGTGAGGGAATCAAAGTGAGTGAGCCGAAAGGACAGGTCATAGGGTTACTACCAGGTTTAGAGGTCAGAGAGATGAAGATGAACCAGCAAAGGCCAGTGAGGAAGAGGAAAACCTCTCAAATGAGAGTAGTGTCCCGGAAACAACTGAAGATTATGTTTCCAAGAGGAGACTGTACACCAGCTGATATGCTACTGGTTGGTTAAATATGATGACTGTTGAGAAAAGACGTTATGTTCTTGTTCCTTCCTGCTTTCTCTCCAAATGAGCCATATTACCAAATTCTGATAAGAAAGATTGGGAGAAGAGGAAAATTTGGTGAAGGTGCCTGCTAGAGTGACGTCCATGAGTGTGTGAAGGGGTTGGGGTCTAGAGCACAGGCAGAGGGCCTGGCATGGACCGCCCATCCACCGTGGGCAGTGGATGCGGATGCTGGTGGGGTATAAATGTGATGGAGCCTGTGGAGCGCTTTCATTTTTACGATGAAGTATGAAGTGACGTCATCGGCTGTGCGTGGGTTGAGGGAGGAGTATTGCAGGTTGAGGAGAATGTGTGAAGTGGGCATACTGGAGAGTGGGGGTGGGTGCCCTGGGAGCAGCTCATTGATCAAAGACTAGAAGTAAATGCACTCACATTTTAAAAGTTACCTCATGGTGATAGGATTCTGTGTTTTTATTTTCTTGGTTCATGCTTTTTGGATTCTCTATAAAGTATGTATATATTTTTGTCTAGTAATCAGAGGAAAATGATTCAGAAAGCAGCCAGTCATATTCTCCTAGATTTAGCTCTCTAATGACAGGCTTATTCATCTTGTGCCCTGGCTCAAAATAGATGATTTGGCTGAGTAAGTGAATAAATACTGCCTTGGAATCTTCTCTAGTGCTGTGAGTTTCAAAGGAGAGTGAACTGGGAGCTCAAGAGAAGCCATTATTAAGTCTGATGATACTAGGTAATAGAGATTAATCATTAGCAACTCAATTCACTTAGAGTTGGTACCAACATTTTTAAAATGATTTGGCATTCTCTTGTGAACTTGCCAGCGCTCCTCCTGTGCATACCCAATACATTCATACCAGGAAGTATTTATAGGCATGCTCACAGTACCACTTTGGAGCAAAGCTGTGAACAACACAAGTTTCATTATTAGAATTAAGTCTTTCATGGTATGGTCCTTACAGATTTCACACAACTCTGAAGAGGAATTGAACTACTACTTCATGCAGTATACTGATGAATCTTGGGAACTTATGGGGAGAAAAAAACAAGGGCTTGAGGTTTATAAATAGCATGGTACCATTTTTATAAAACTCAAAAACAAGCTATGTGTGTTTAAGTCATGGTTGCATGTGATGAAACTAAAAAGACAGGAGAGTGGTTTCCAAAAATCTGAGAATAGTTACTTCTGGGTGAGAAGGCAGTTGGATAGAATGGAGGTGGAACAGAAAGATAAATTCAGGGTTTTGGTACTGTTCTGAAGTTGGATGGTAGGTTGACAGATACTTATTTTATATTGCTCTTATGCTTTGTAATGGATGAATCAAATTATATTAAGAAAAAAATGTTACATACAGAAAATAACCGTTGGGGAAACCTAAATAAATGAGGAAGGAAAAAAGGTTAGGCTGTTGATACAATAAGACAAACCTGTCTTTCTATCATACCCCCCACCAGTCTGGCAAACATTAAAAAGCAGAACTATCAGGCATTGGTAAAGATGAGAAGCCAAAGTAATTCTCAAAACAATTTGGCATTTCCTGATAAGGACAGATGATGAACATACTCTGTAACCCAGCAGTACTGCTCCTTAGAACCACTTCCACATGTTCATTTACAGAGATGTTTGTTGCAGTGCTATTTATGATAGTAAGTCTGGGGACAGCTTACATGTCCATGGACAGTAGAATGGATAAACTATAATATAGTCATACAGTAGAATATTGTATAGCCATAGCAACAAAAGAACCTCATGAACATAATGTTGAACAAATAAAGCAAGGCAAAAGAATACATACAGTGTAGTTCCTTTTATGTTGAAAAAAAAAGTTCAAAAACTATTCAGACTCAACAATAAGTTATTTAGTGGCAAAACTAGAAAGACAAGGGAATGATAAACTGAGTGGATAGTGGTTACTTCTTAGAGGGCAGTGATGGTGCCAGGTGAAGAGGAGCCCAGGGTGCTTCAAAGATGCTGGTGGGTGCAAAGGGGTGTGTGTATGTGTAATATAGTTTTATTATGATCAATATATTTAACATAAAATCTGCCATTTTAATCATTTTTAAATGTACAGTTCAATGAGCGGCATTAATTATATTCACAGTGTTGTACAACCAGCATCACTGTTTTCAAAATGTTTCCATCACCCCAGAAATTCTATACCCATTAAGTAATAACTCCCCATACACAAATGTTTTTGTAAATATTTGTGTACATTATATATTCTTTTTTGTTTATTATATTTAATAATGAAAACATTTAATGTAAGAGGTATGCCAGTTCCAAAGACTTCTGCAGCCGTTTTCTCTGGGAATGAAACGAGGAGATTAGCCTTCAGAATTTCCAGGCATGTGACTTTTTATGTTACTGAATGGTAGTGAGTATCATACAGCATATACTGTTACCAGTAATAAGGGAAATAATTTTATATTAAGAAAAGCTTTTGAGGAGATACAGTCTTTTTCATATTAAGATTCATTTTTCCTATTTCAAGGAAAAAGTGGAGCTAAAATTTCTGTTTCTAGATAATCTTTGTTTAATTCAGTTTGATCTGTAAATCCTCATATGCTTACCAACTGTTACTCTAATTTACATTTGTAATTATGCATGTAATATATTTCAGGTTTTTTTCTTTTTTTTTAAACTGCAGTAGCCTAGCCTTTTTTCCATTTTTCATTTCTTATTTGAAGGTTAATCTATTTTAAATTTGTTTTTCATTCTGAGTAGATTTTTCAGTGATGTGATTAATACTTAATTCTTTGCTTTTAGAAAGTGGTTGAGGATATTAGAGAAAGGAAAGCATATTATTTAAATAGAAACACTATAGTAGACAGCTTAAGCATACTGTTTCATTATAGGATTATTGACTTGACAGAACTTCACAATTGAAGATTATAGTACTAAAGGCTTGTTCCTTTTTGGTTCATGAAGAACCAAAAAAATTTGTATACTGTCCATTCTTCTCTTAAGAACAATTCATTCTTACTAGGTTAGATAGATTCAAACTGAATCTAGAAGTAATACATGTGATTTTTACATATGTCATATTTTTCTTAATGTTGTTAAGTTATTACCATGCATTCATGTTCTATTAATGGAAAATACTTTGATTGGATTCTCATCTCAAGGAGGAGTTGTTTCAGAGCCGGTGTGCGCTATTATGTAAGAGGTGAGATTAATTTTGTCAGCATGATTCAGTACTAGGTCATATCTATCACTAATTAGCATTTTGTCTTATGGTGACATGAATGTAACCTTTTGTATTTTATTTGTTTCGTTGTCATTTGATAGCCTCGCTAAATATTTATCTCCTGTTTCATTATAATAATTAGGTAGGTCTTTTGAGCTTTACTCCAGCTACCATAATTACATTGCAAACGTTAATGTAACATTATAGGCTGCTTCTTACTGCTTTAAGAGGAGCTGCTTATGTTGTTTGTTGGATGTCTGAAATCACAGGTGAACTCAGTGTAGTTTTCGGTAACCTAAACTTGTATCAGAAAGAATTTTCTTTTATTGCTTTTGGTTTCTTTGCATGCATAAAGCTAGACATTTGACTTTATGCCTTCAACTTTGTAAACATTTACATTTTGAGTATTTATTCTCCAAGCTTTGTACTAGCAGCATACTAATTTGCTCAAATCAACATTTTAAAATCTGTATTAAAAGTTACTGTCATTATGAAAAGGAGTTTCTCTAACCTTTCTGTTTTCCTTTTTAAACTGAGTATATCACAGTATTTAATGGCCTGTGGACCATTAACTAAGTTGTAGTTTTGGGCCAGAAAGTTGTAGGGATTATTTGGTTAATGTCTCTCATTGTAGAACATACAGCAGAGGTAGAAAGACATTGAGTGAGTGATCTGGTCAAGATCACAGACCAAAATTAAAATTAACAACTCCCTTGTAACTAGATTTTCTTGGATTGAAACATAATTTTTAATTAAATTTTTTGAATAGATAATACATTTACATATTTCAAATATCAAAAAATACCTTTTGGCCAGGTGAGGTGGCATGTCTATAATCCCAGTGCTTTGGGAGGTGGAGGCAAGAGGATCGCTTGAGCCCAGGAGTTGGAGGTTGTAGTGAGCTGTGATTGCACCATGGCAGTCCACTCTGGGCAGCAGAGTGAGACTCTGTTTCAAAAAAAAAAATTTTTTT